CCTTAGGCGTTCGTTGTGAGCCGCGTTGATCTGGTGACGCACGTCATCCTCGTGCAACTTCCCCTTGCCCTTATCCGGGCGGGGCTGGTCCGCTGTCCGGGACACAGACCCCAAGCTTTCCCTTGGCGAGCCAGGACGAGGATCACCAATCCGTCCCGCCATCCTCTCCGAAACCGGACGACGGCGCGCGTCACCTAGCCTATTGAAGGCAGAGGCTTTTCCACGCGCTGGGGTCTGCCCGGGCCGAAGAGGGGAAGCAGGGTGGGAGTGGGACGACGCCGTGTCCTGGGGCACCACCCCTTCGTCGTTGCCAATCTGGACGGCCAACGGTTGGGGTTGAGGAGGTTGAGTGACGTTCCCCCCAGTCCTTGGCAAGAGTGCGCTGAGGACGGTGGGGTTCTGAGCCAAGCTGGCGATGATAGCCGATAGTGCGGCCTGGACCTGAGGATCTACGGACGGAGAGGCCGCGACCATAGGCTGGGTCGGGGCGTGATCCGTCTTTTCAGCTCGCTTCTTGTCCAAGCCGAGGCGGGCGTCAGGGGTGCCGCCGTTGAGTTGGTTGCGGAGGTCCGTTGTGAGGTTGAAGGCCTCCTGGAAGAGATCCCCTCCGCCGGCCTGGTCGGCCGTAGCGTCCTCATCGTGCTCCCTGGGCTCTTGGTCCTCAGGGATGACTTTGCTGACGAGGTTGCGGTTTGACTTAGTTCTCCCCATGATCAGTGGTTAGCTGTGCTTGGTAGCGACGAAGGGTGCTAACTTGATTGTTCTAGCTCTCAACGAGAGCACCAAATGATAGAGTATATCTAGAGAGAAGTGAGAGCTAGAGAGAGAAGTGCAATAATATGCTTCAATAGAATGAATTTGTAACCCCTACAACTACTCCCAAAGGGAGTATTTATAGAGAAAATTAGGGTTGGGCTCCCAAGCCTTGGGCTTGGGAGGCCCATTTACAACTGGACCGCTACTGGGCCGAATACAAAGCCACTAATGGGCTGTACAGATGGGTAAGTATAAAATCCGGTTCTGTGAAGTCTTCTTGGCCGACGGGGGCGTGGCCGACGAGGGCACGGCCGACGAGGGCACGGCCGACGAGGGCACCCGGGTTCCTTGGACTCAGGACCATAATCCGAGTTGGCCCCTTTTCGGCCGACGGGGGCGTCTTGGCCGACGAGGGCGCCACTCTGTCGTCTTGTGCTTTCTGTTCTTCCGAGTATGTGGTTCCGGGGGCTCAGACCCATATACTCCATCAAATAGGAAAGTAGCAAAGTTTTTTGGGACAATCAAAAAAGGAAAGTTGGCAAAGTCCAATGGGACGAAGAGATGTACTGAATTTTGAAAAGTGCAATTTAATCCATTTTTAATCCTAATTTTCAGAAGATGAAAGTTAGGATTAATATAATCATACATTTCTTTTTTAATTAACTAAACAATTACGTCAAATACATAGGATCATTATTGGCAGAAGGTCCATAAAGTTGGAATTATTTTAAAATGATTGATAATTGGGATTACTATATGAGAAGATCAAGAATATTTGAGATTATTATTATTGATGTTATAAATTTTTTAATTTATACTCCCTCAGTATTTTAAAATTTGATATACTTTCCTATTTATGATGTATTTAAAAGTTTGTTACACTTATCTTTATGGTAATTTTTCTTTTAAAATACTCAATTACCTTTACTTTTTCTACTATATCTTCTATTTCATACCATTCCACCTTTTTGTATTTTTTTCTACATTATTCATTTATTCATTACACTTACTAGTTCGCCTTAAATATTGTGCCAAAGTCTAATGTACTGGTCTTTTAAAGTGAGAGGTGGTATCAATTAAAACTTATTAGAACACTGCAATAAACCAGTTGGTATACCGTGGGAGCAGCCCAGGGTGAGCATGTTGCTCCCACACCAAAAAGGCGTGTTACTGTTCACAAACATGAACAGTAACTTCGTTTTTATTTACTTCATTGTCCCAGTAACAGAATGGTGTAACTCGCGTGTAAAGAAATATAGCTCACGATGATAAGAAATATAATTAGAGGCGAATCGAAATGTAACTTGTCTTATAGGGATTATAAAAAATAAAATATTAATTTTAATGAAAATAAGGAGTCTAACTTCTCAATTACTTTACGTAAATAGTCAATATGTTTCTTTAATATTAAGGCCATAAAAATGGTTTTTATGTTTTTTTTGCCAAACAAAATCATTTTTTATGAAGAAAATCATTTTCATTTTTGCAAAAAAGTGATTTTTTATTTTAATGGCACGGGTTAACTTAAATAGTGAATACATTTTGTTTTTAATACTAAGGCCATAAAAATGTTTTTAAAAAATCCGTTTTTTGTAATAAAAAATCTGTTTTTTGGTAAAAAACAATGGATTTTTTTTGCAAAATTGTGATTCTTTTGATTCAATAGTAGGCTTTATGTTGTGATGTAATTCGTGTTATAGAAAATGTAACTCGCGTTGATGGAAAATTTAACTTAGGTGTATACAAAATGTAACTTGTTGAGCCAAACTCAAAAGTAACTAGCGCATAGAAAGATGTAACACACGTATAAAAAGATGTAACTCACGGATAAGAAGATGTAATATCATATACTATCAAATGTAAACATGAAAATATGGAGTCTAATTGCTCAATTAATTAATGTAAATAGTTAATATGTTTTGTTTTAGTACTAAGGCCATATAAAATGTGTAAAGAAAAATATATTTTTTTTCAAAAAAACATATATTGTTTTGTCAAAAAAAGCTTTTTTGATTTGCAAATTTTTTTTTTTTTTCAATAGCAGGGGCTTATTTTGTGATAAAACTCGTGTTATGAAAAATATAACTAGTGTTGATGAAAAATTTAACTTAGGTGTATGTAAAATGTAACTTATTGAGGCAAACCCAAATGTAACTAACGCATAGAATGATGTAACTCACGCACAATAAGATATACCCGCGCATTGGAAGATGTAACTCCATAAAAGACTATCAAATGTAACTCCAGATTTTTTTAATAAACATAACTCACAGATATGAAAAATGTAATTTCATGTTTTTAATAAACATAACTCAAATTTCAAATCGAAATAAACAGATTTAATGCCTTGAAAACACTAAATACATATAAAAGCGACAAGAAATATATCTTTTTGAAAAAAGTGTATGAATATGAAAATTATTTACAAAAAGAGTGTATACATGTAAGAAATATTTCACAAAAAATAAATTCAGCAGTAATTTTGGTTGAAGAAAAAAAAATAAAAAAAACGGTGTATGTTCATTAATGTAATATGATTATTTCATGTGGATTAATAAAATTTTGTAATAAATTTGTAATTAAAAAAAAGTTAATTGATGAGTTATAATTAAAATATTGAAATTACATTTAAGTATTTAGTATTTTATTGGAGAGGAGAAAAGAATTGAAGAAACTAAAAAAGAAGAACAAAGTGAAAGAAATAACATACGTGGACTAGTGGAAGGATTGAGAGAAAAGAAAGTGGAGTCTATCCATATATAAGAAAAGAAATAACTCATTGAAATACCAGTTTCTCCTCAAAAAATCCTATGTGTCTTTCTCTCCATATGACACAAATATTGCATGTATAAAATTTTAAAAAATATATGGAGGATAATTAGATATGAAGGTTTACTAAACAATTCAACCTCGATACTATTCCGTATTAAATAAATAAATACTTTCCTAATATATGACCAAAAGAATGATGATACAAAAATATTTGAACAAAAAATGTACATCTCTTACTGTATAATGGACCATGAAAGAAGAACTGTATTAGAAGACCAACTGGAATAAGATGCCAAAGCAATCTGAATTTAGAAAAATGGAAACAAACTTGCGAATCAATAGTTCACTTTTTTTAAGGACATAATGAAAAATATAACTCCGATTAATATATTAAATCCAGTAGTATCAGACTCAAACTCAGAGAAAACAAGCGCAAAATAAAGAGGACAAGTGTTTAACATAATCTTGGAGAGTAGGTGTTTAGCACCACTAAACATGACCGTCTTTTAGGAGGTACAAAAGGTGCTTTGCACCGAGGCCACTCATTTAGGGGGCCTCCAAAAATTTAGAATGTAATATTAGTTATAAGTTTATTTTCTTATATGTTACTACCTCCGTCCCGAAAAGGTTCGTCATATTGACTTTTCTTGGTCAATGATGACAAACTTTGGACGATGATTTTAATTATTATATTTATATATAATTTATAAATTTTATACTTTTATGAAAATATTTTGAATGAGCAACATTTTGATATAATTTTTATATTTTAAATAATTTCGTATTAAGAAATATCATTAGTCAAAGTTGATTGTCATTGACCAAGAAAAGTCAATTTGGCGAACCTTTTCGGGATGGAAGGAGTATGTATTATTCAAGATTTCAAAAGGTATATAATTTTTAGATTCTCTAATTTGTGCATTTTAAACATCATAAAATTTGGGGGGGAGGAGGATAATTAAAATACCCCAAATTTGAAGGGGTGTGAATTAAACACCCCAAACTTTCATAGTACGTATGTAATTTAAATACCCCAAACTTTATATAAAAAGTTATTTTAACACCATGGTTATGTATTATTTTTTTCAAAAATTTAAATTTATGGTGTTAAATGCAAATTTTAAAATAGCAAATTGAAAACATTAGAATTATATATAGTGGTGGGTAATACTATTTATTTTAAAATGGAAGCTTAGAATGTTATTTGTATCTTTATGAATGCTAAAAATTATCAAATTATGAAATAAACACGAAAAATTAATATTTTTGAAAGAAATAATACATGAACATGGTGCTAAAATAACATTTTATATAAAATTTGGGATGTTAAAATTACATATGCTAGTTTGGGGTGCTTATATCACACCTCATCATTAATGTTTGGGGTATTTTAATTATTTTTCCCCATAAAACTTATATTTCATTGAACTGTCTAGTCTACATGTATTTCATTATTCAAAAACTTAATTCAATTTTCCACTAAGTAAATCTTTTATTGGTCTCCAGGCAGAGTCTTGATGATGTCTGAATCACCTGGATCAACAATGCTAAGGCGGGACACACGGAAATACTTTCCACAAGCTGTCCCAAGGTCAACATTGTTTCCATTGTAATGATGAACTCCAACCTTAGCGAGCATAGCATAGTACTCGATCTCAGACTTCCTCAGAGGTGGGCAATTGTTGGATATCAATACAAGCTTTCCTTTGAAGTTCTCAAGTGTCTTGAGAACTGTTTTGTACCCAAGTGTAAACTTACCGCTCTTCATGACCAGAGCTAACCTGTTGTTTATGCTCTCATGTGTCTTCTTCAACTTCTTCCCCGCGGTCACCATTGTGGATATGCAGAGATGCTAAGGATCTGCCGCTTGAGGTCGGGGTTTGATGTGAATCAATAGTTCACACTATTTATAACAATAAATCTGCATATCATAAGTTCTTGCAATTGAAAACTTATACTCGGTATGAACAAAAAATACTCAAAACGCTAACAATCTAACGGTAGAAAGTAATTAAATCAAAACGGAATTATGTAATCAAGTAACGAAGATGTGGAAGACAAGGAAATAAAATTGTTATTGGGTGAATCACTACACATTTGTGTAAGATGTGAGAGAATTTTCTCTCTCCATTGTTAAGTATAAGATAAGATAGGTCGACTAACAATTGAGTGAAAAAAATTTCTATCTCATGTGCAATCCTTTTAGGTATAAGATTTTAGGTATAAGAAGATTCGGTCATAATTAAGGAGGACGAGAAATTTTACATATGAATCTCATCATATTAGAAATTATTATTAGTATTAGTATTATTACTTTAATTATTACTAGTAGAACACCCGTGTGATGCACGGTTGGTGAAATTTCACGGATGTAATAAATTTTAGTTAAATTATTTATAATGACTGAGTAATAGAGTGACTAACTGAATATGCATTTATACAAATTACATTTTTTGAACGAATTGTCTGTTTAAACAGATAATATAGGGGTCGAAAATATGTTAAAGTGTTTTATGTCATTCTTAAACTCTCTTTGAATATGAATTTGTGAAAACATGTTCAATTAGGGCCTTCTACCCCTTCCTTTTATTTCAAAAGTTCCTACCCCTTCCACATTGTTTTTTTTTTGTTGCAAAAGTCCAACCCCATTCCACATATAATCTTGTAAACTTCACCACGTCCCCATTTGACAAATTTTATAAGGTGTATATACAAATCATTTCCATACAATTCTCTAGAATTTATTTAAAGTGTAATAAAAAGTAAAAACCACAATACCGGCCTAACCAATTTTCTACAAAACTTTCGAAGCTCAATACAGCCTAATTAAAAAACCGTGGCCCAAACTTTTTCTTAAACTTGCATACGCCACCCTCTAATCTATGCATCCGCAGCCACCCCGTTTAGATTTCCGGTGTTCACTCTCCTAGCCAGAGCTCTTTCACCGCCAACATCTAACAATACATTCACCGTAAAGAGATAACCTTCCCCTTCTACAAATCCTCCTACAAACTACAATCCCTTTTTACAATTTTATTTTGTACGGACACGGGTACTTCTTCGATTGGAGACTGCTCCGACAACCACACGCACGCTTGCATGCTTGTACATGAGAACAGATATCCCAAGGGAACAAATAGCCCTGGATCCCCGCATCGATAAAAAAATATTTCCTTAAGCTCTCACGGCAATGCCCGCTATAGCCGGAAAGAAAGCTTGACCTTGAAGGTTGTCAGAGGATCCATGTTATCGCGGCGTAGATCGGTCTCAAAAACCCCTTCAAGCTCTTGATAGATTTCCATTCACATCACCAACCCTTACAAATGACTCCCAAATCAGAATCAGTAGGTTTACATTTCATGAAACTATTATATTTATTATTCAACTCCACATTCGTTTATAAGGGTTAGCACTTTCCTAACCTGCTTGGAGTTGTAGGTTATGAATAAAATTCATAAGAATCAAATCAATAAAATGGGTAAAGTTGATACTTGATCGACAGTAGTAACCTACCGTGAGTTGTAGGTTACGAATAAAATCCATAGGAATCAAATCAATGAAATGGGTAAAGTTGATATGCAATGCTAACCTATAGCTGACACTAAGTTTTTTACTTTAAAACTTAAGTATTACACTTGTGTTTGAAGTTGATCCACTACAACAAAACAAGGCTTTGGCAACACTCTCAAAATGTTACATTAGCTCATTAAAATATTACAAAAGGCTAATGCAACACTTTTATGGCCGTTACTTCAGGTCCCGTTGCATAAAGTAATATGCAACACTTTTCTCTTATTATGCATCACTGAATTAAAGTGTTGCATACATATCTCAAATGCAACACTTTTTTTGCAACACTTTGACTAGCATTTTTCGCAACACTTTTTCAAATTAAATGCTAACGCTTAAAATATGACTTTAAGAAAAACTCTTTAATATGTATGTAACATATATGTTATACTATTTTGCAACACTTATTATATTTCGTAACAGTTCAATGAATACTTTATGCAACATTTTATTCAAAATTGGCAACAACACTTCTTTAGAATTATAAGCCACACCCTTACCAATATTTATATTAAACATTTTGTAACAATTTATTTTAATTTTGAACTACAGGTATATAAAATAACATGCTTGAAATATGAAACTTTATACTATGTATAGTGATGGATAGTGTACCCGGGGGGTAGCTTATCCGAGGGGTTATTGTGGGGAATAACTAGAGAGAAGTCAGAGTAAGTAAGTAGAGAGAGAAAGTATATTAGAAAGTATGCAGCATGTGTATTGAGACTTGTGACTTGGTTACAAATGGGGAAATGGGGTGCTATTTATAGTAGCAATAAATGCCAGACAGGGACACGTGTCAAGCGTCTATTGGCCGAGAGGTCATCTCAACTGGTTGGCGCTGGCAACCGCATGTGGCCGCATTTAATGCGGTTGTTGGATGGGACGTTGTAGAGGGTACGGTGATCTGTACGCATGTGGCACGGATATCATGTCGAGAGAGGTGCCCTCGGCTGTAGAGGACTAGCCGAGGGCTCTGAGTACCGGGGACCCCTTTGGTGCCGAGGGCTCCAGGTGCCAAGGGCTACTGATTTTCGCCGTTTTTCCCAGTAACTTTGTTCTGCTGTCTTGGCCCTCCTGTGAGAGTTAGAGCCTTCGACCAGGGGCCGAAGGCACCCCTGGTGCGCATTTGTGGGCTGCTTGGTATCTTGGGCGCCGTGATTTGGGCCTGTTGTGTTTCCTGGGCCTATTGGGCCTTTATTGGAGTAGTAGGAGTCTGTGGGCCGGGGGTTCCCGGGCCATATACTCCATCAGGAGTCCCTTACTCCTTTTGCCGAAAGGTACTTGAGGTAAAAGGAGTAGTTGTGTTTGTCCTCTGCCGTTGTTCCGTTGTAGTTTTGTAGAGTTGTGGGTAGTTTGCTGTTTGTCTATTCTGTCGAGGGCAGTCCCTTAGTTACCCACATGTCGGGACTTGAGGGGTCATGTTTGTGATTTTTGTGATTTCTCCCGAGGGGGTCCTCCACTCCCCCACTCCTTGAGGCACTTGCAAAGTGGTGAAAAGGAGTAGAGTAGTTGCGTTGCTGTTTTGGGCCGAAGGCTGACGCTTTTCGTTTCATTTTGGGGGGATGCCTCGTTAAAAACCTCATTAGGAAAAACCCTGTAGGAAAAAAATCCTAATGAGGGAAAAAGAGTACACCGAATTCCCCCAATGATGAATCGAAAACCTGAAGCCCTGGTCTGAAATGGAATACAATGCTGATGCCGAAGGCTTTCCTTGCTCTGAGGGCTCATGTGTTGATTAGCCGGAGGCTTGTCGTAGGTATCCTGGGAGGTGCCGAAGGGGGGTCCCCCAATCTGGGGATCGAGGGCGTAATGAATGATGGTAGTAGTTGAAGTGTTACCGGGGTGCCCCCTGTTTGTTGATTAGTTGGTGATGAGGATATCCGAGGGCTCCCATTACCTGTGTGCCGTAGGCTATCCGTCAATGAGGCATACTCCCCGGGGGCTACCCGGCCCTCAGAGTGCTGAGGGGGGATCCCCGAGGGGTGGCCTGTTATGAAGCCGTGGGCTTCTGAAGGAGTGAGCCTGAAGGCATTTGTTATGTAGTGTGTGGGGCACAAACCGGGAGTGTCTCTGGGTAAGTGTACCCGGAGGCTCTCCTTGATGAAGTGGAGTGAAGTGAAAACCCGGGGGCCAGTTTATTGGTTGATGAAGGAGTGGTCTGCCAAGTGTAGCCGGGAGCTCCCGGAATTTAGCCGTTGGGAATATCTAACGTCAGGATATAGCCGTTGGGGGGGGGTTGCCACGTGGTGCGTGCTCGTTGGCTGCCCGTGGGCGGGCGTCACCGATTGGGGGAAACCACGGTTGGTAATGATGGCAGTCCAACCGGAGGCCCGGTTTCCAGGCCCAAGCCCGGATCCCAGCGCCTATAAATACCCATGGCCGGCTTTACTTCCCCTTGTGCGAAATCATTGTAGCGAAGCTCTGCCAAAATTTCTAGAGAGAGAAACAGCCTCCTTCGATCAATCCCTGCCTTAAGGTCAGTTCCCCCCTGCTCTTCTCCTTCTAGTTAGCTGTGCCCTGTGCCTTTAGGCTAGGAGATAGAACTTTTAGAAAACTCTAGTGTTTCCGAGCCCCCGAACTAGTGCCAAGATGTCTTCCCAAAGTGATTCCCAGGACATCTCGGGGGCGCCCTCGATGGAGGATGAAGTCATCTCGGACGTGGAGTCCTCAAGCGAACAGCCCTCAGCAGGACAAGACGCTGTTGTCGCCATGGAGTTGCAGAAAGCCCTCGTTGCTGAGGCGGAAGCCGAGGGCTTCGAACAAGAGTGTGAAGACGAAGAGCTGGCCCTCGCCTGGCAAGTAGCTGAGGAAGAGGCGCAGAAAGAGGGTGTGAGGGTCATTGTTGTTGTTCTCCCCCCTCGGGGCACTGGCGAGGCCAGCACCTCTCGGCCGCTGAACGCGGTTCCCATCCGGGTGGCCCCCAGAAAAAAGAAGGCGAAGTTCGCTGCTCCCAAGAAGAAGGGCAGCATTGAAGACCAAGGGAAGCCCCTCGATATGCCCGAGGGGTATTCATACTTGAATACCGCCGCCTTAGAGATAAGGTCGAAAGCTGATGCGGTGGATCTTTATGTCACTCAACTACACGTGGGCCCTTCGGCCGTTGTGGTGGCACCGGGTCCCGATGACGTCCTCTCCCGGGCTCCCGAGGGCTGCATTGCGGTGCATGTCCTGTCTGTGTCGATGGGGCTCCGGTTTCCCCTACACCCCTTCCTCCGGGAGTACCTCCGGTTCGTGGGTTTGGTCCCCTGCCAGCTGACCCCGAACAGCCATTCCTACATCACGGGCTTCCTCTAGCTCTGTAAGTCCCGGGGGGT